GCATAAACATCGTTTCTCACATACGTGTATTCCGCTCAAACGCGCACGCATTCCTCTACATGTCTTTTCAACCGGGTGCGCCCCGGTCTCATCAGGAGGCTTTCCGCTATCCCTTGGCCGCCTATCGGCCCACCTCACTCTACCACCCACTATAATCTAATAATGCCAAAAACACGCGTTGTAATTAAAAAAAAAAAAAAAAAGGAAAAAAAAAAGCAGACGACAATGTGTGAAAGCATCTCTACTTGAAAAAAAAAACGCGGCAACAACTTTTTTTTCCCTCCAAACTTTTTCATTGCGTAATAATTTATTAATTTCCACAATACTGTAATAATGCAAAAAGCACGCGTTGTACAATGGAAAAAAAAAAAAAAAAAAAAAACGCAGGCGACAATGTGTGAAAGCATCTCTACTTCAAAAAGATAAAAAAGAAAAAAAAAAAGCATCTCTACTCCGCGCTCCCAACAGTCAGTCACAAAGTGGCGGTGTATCACCCACCACCTGTCGGCATTCATTTCCAAAAAAAAGAAGCAATAATTATTAATTTCGAGGACGAAGGATGTTTTTTGAAGTTGTTTTTCAAGATTTTCGACTGACTGATCGTGCAACTCTTTTTTTTTTTTTTTTTTTTTTTTGTTGTTGTTGTTGTTGTCTTTTCCCGACTGTCTGTTTGCTTGCAGGTCGCCAACGACAGTCGGGAATAAGCAGTTGGTCTAAAAAAGGAGCTTCGTTGGATTACCCTTGGAAGTATCGTCCTCAGTTTGATATGAAGTACGAAAAGGAATTTTAAAGAGTAAAAAAAAAAAAAAAAAAAAGGGCAAATAAAGGTAATAACAACAAAATATAGGCAATGTCGTGAAAAAAAAGAAGAATGAAACCTTTAAAATGTACGAAAAGGATATGGCGATGAAATGCGATAAGGAGATGAGCACGTGGCTGGTTCATTCAGATGTAAAACGCCGGGGGTGTGCCGCTGAAGACGTACGTACCTGCAGGCTGTGGGCGGTGTCGAGAAGATGAGTGTGAGCGGGAGCAGGAGCAGAGAGGAGGTGTATGTATAGCTACAGCTAGTTGGGTCGAGAAGATGAGTGTGAGCGGGAGCAGGAGCAGAGAGGAGGTGTATGTATAGCTATAGCTAGTTGGAATATTGATTTGGGGGAAAGAAAGGGGGGAGGTGGGGGTTAAGGGTCGTGGAGACGAACCCCCTTTCGATAGGTAACATAAAAAAAAAATTATAACATAAACAAAAAAAATTATAGTAGGAAATTGCAAAGACCAGGATCGCGTTGCTTCATTGGCTTTTGCTATAGATAGATAGATAAGATAGATAGAACTTTGCTATCTGCTATTTGCTATTTTGCTATTTGAGAAACGAGGGTAGGAGAGTGTTTGAGCGGACTGGAAGACGACTGCTGTGTGCAAACTACGTGGCGAGTGTGAAGTTGGGAAAAAAAAAAAAAAAAAAAAAAAAAAAAAAAAAAAAAAAAAAACGTCGGCGGAGCGTGGGATTCTTGTTATATGTATCTTGAGGATGAAGGACGGAAAAGGAGATAAAGAGAGAGATTAGCTGCTGCGCAGCTGCTAGCAGTCCTAACGTAGTTGTTTGACTTTGACTTTGACTTTGACTTGCTTGCTTGCTCCTTGCTTGCTCACGTGGCTGCTCACGTGGCCGTTTGCTGACTCGGCTGCGGACTACTGTCTTCCCCCCAATAGAACGGGAAGTCAATTATCCCCTTATTACCTAGACTGGAAATTGGCCAAATACAGGTATAATAACCGTACGTTGTATTCGGGGGAAGACTGTAGCTGACTTGCATGCTGACGTCCCTGTTGATTTCGCTGCAGACTTGATTACTGACTTGGCTGCTGACGTGGCTTCTGACTTGTCTGCTGACGTGGCTTCTGACTTGTCTGCTGACGTGGCTTCTGACTTGTCTGCTGACTTGTCTGCTGACGTGGCTTCTGACTTGGCTTCTGACTTGGCTTCTGACTTGGCTGCTGACTTGGCTGCTGACTTGGCTGCTGACGTGGCTGCTGACGTGGCTGCTGACGTGGCTGCTGACATGGCTGCTGACGTGGCTGCTGACGTCCCGTTATGTATGTAGAGGATGAAGGATAGAAGAAAAGGCGTGAAAGGAAGTAGAGGGATTAGCTGCTGTGCAGCTGGCAGCACTCCACGACTAGTGTCGGACTTGCTTGCTTGCCGACGTGGCTGCTTACGTCATTGCTGACGTGGCTGCGCGGTAGCTGACTTGCATGCTGGCGTCCCTGTCGACTTCGCTGCAGGATTGATTGCTGACTTGTCTGCTGATGTAGTTGTGGACCCGGTCGCTGACGTGCTTGCTGACGTGGCCGTGGAACTACCTTCATGGATGTGCAGATCTCCAGAGTGGAGTTGGGGTGGGAGGAGTGTGTGCATAGGAAGGGGAGTGGTCGGAGGTGGATTGAGGAAGATACGCGAAGAGAATGTTCACATGCAAGAATGGGTCTCTTCTTAGTTTACGTTTTGACGTTTGTTTTCCTGTCTGTGACAGACTTGGTTTCTGGTGAGTTAAGAGGGTTAGACGGAGGAGTAGTAGTAGTAGGAGGAGGAGGAGAAGGAGAACATGTGGGAAGTGGTCATGGTAAGTTGGTAGATGCCGCATTTGCATGCACGGTGGAGGGGTCCTCCCTCTGTCAAAGCAATCAGGTGGTGCTCTTCCGAGGCTCCCAATGGACCACCATCGATCTCGACTTGGAAACCCTCCCCCCGCTCCCCCCCCTCGCCCCACTTCCCCCCCGAGCTGGTACGGAGAAAAGTGGAAGTGCCTCCCCGAGGGTGGAAATGCTACCACTAGGGCAGTTTTCTGAGGGCGTATGGACCGAGATCTCCTGCAACTGGAGCCTTCCTGAGCCCTTTTCTAAGCGGATTAACGCTGCTATGAATTGCCCTGCTGTAAATGGCGAGGAGGCACTTGGTTGGGGTCCCTTGGCTTGCCGGTCGAGTCATGCCTTCTTCTTCTCTGATGGTGTCTACCTTCAGTTCGATCTGGCAGAGGGCAGGGTTGTGAGTGGACCCACTGAGATTCGCGCTCGCTTCAAGATGCCATACCCATTCGCACTTGGACTGGATGCTGCTTACCCTTGCCCCGTGCCGCCCTTGCCTTCGATGACATGGACGTCCCAATTGGGACCCCAAAGGTCATTTCCCAACTGCACTAGCGAATCCCAAGTTATCTTCGTCAAAGGCCATATGTATCTTGTCTACGATCTGACAACCAGCACGGTAGTCGTCCCACCCCATCGCCCGCCGAAAGGCTTCTTGACCTGGCCCACTGAGGGTCATTCCGAGAAGATCGACGCCCTTGTGGCCCTCTCCAGACCCAGCAGGCCCTGGCACTGGGGGACTACCCACCACAACCCCCTCAACAACCGGCCCAGCTATTCCAAAGCAGCGATGTTCCTTCGAAATGGGCAAATCCTACTGCTCATGGACTCCCCCCCCCGACCTTCCCATCCAGATGATCGACGAGGTCAGCTCGCGGTGGTCCAGGGAGAGACACGTGTCAGCTTGGTAAAGAAGCTCCTGCTCGTCGAAGGTGTTCAGAGCCATCATCATCATCATCATCGTCATCGTCATCAGCGTAATGAGGACATTTCGGTGAAGGATGTGTACTGGTTGGGCAAACATAATGGCATGTTTACAAGACTGGTCTCTGCGGCTTCCGCGTGGTTCTCAGAGATGCATATACGAAATCAACCCCCTATATTTCGTAGACGCCGACTGAAAGCCGTCATCTCCACCCCCTCCCTCAACGAGGAATCCCAACAAGGTCATCATCAGTCGAGTGCGGGTGGACGGACGCTTGGCCTGAACGATATAGGCGCCCTGGCGGGTGCTATTGTGTCTGTTGTCACCATAAGTGTTTGTCTCATCATGGTCTGCTGCATTTGCTGGAAGAAACGCCACCATGATGACAAAAAAGGCAAGACCTTGAGCCGTGGGTCATCCTTCCTCAGTCGCGGGCTACTCAACTTCTCGGCTGCTATCAGCGGCTCGCTCACCCCCGCAGGAGGTGCGTTGACGTTTGGCCTTTGCCATGATCTGGAGTTGGATCCTGATGCCCTTGCCTCTGCCACTAATGGGTTCAATGCGGCGAACATAATTAGCCGGGGGTCTAATGGGATGGTATACAAGGGTTGGCTTAGCGGTCGCCCTGTAGCCGTCAAGAAGCTGGACAAGACAACTGGCCAGGTGGGAAAAGGCTTTTACGCAGAGATGGAGGTCGTCGGACGAGCAAGCCATCCGAATCTGGTCGATTTTGTGGGGTTTGTGGCTGATGGTACTCATGATGTTATGCTGGTCCTGGGGCACTTGCCGAATGGGAGTTTGTTTGATCACTTGCATGGCCGTGCGTCGAGGTCCGGCCATCTGTCCTGGGAGAGGAGGATGGGAATCGCTCGCGGAATCGCAGAAGGACTCTGTTATCTTCACACAGGTTCAGGAATGCCCCTAGTTCACGAGGATTTGAAGGCCAGCAATGTGCTGCTGGACAAAAACTTCTCTGCGAGACTAGCCGATTTTGGCCTGACTCGCTTGCGCGGCACAGTCGGGGGGGGGGTGGCGATAGGCTCGGGGGCCCCTGCGGGGTGTGCCATCAAGGGAAACCAGGGGTACACGGATCCCTTCTGCTGCTGTGACACGACTGACCAGCCGTCTACCTATAGCGATGTGTACGCATACGGTGTGCTGCTGCTTGAAATCATTTCTGGACGGAGACCCCTGGATCTCGACCTCGTTGGCCCCGATGGCTGTCGAGGCTTGATCGCCTGGGCTCGCCCGCTCATCATGGACGGCCTTGTCGACGAGATTGTTGATAAGCGGTTGAGATGCAAGTATGCCCACCAAGAGGTGCAGTACACGAGCCTTGTCGCCCTTGCATGCATCGATCCTGACCCCAAATTGAGGCCAGACATGCCACATGTCGTGGCTGCTTTGCAGGCCTTCATGGATGGGCGGCAATGGGAGCCCGTTCCCCCTTTTCAACCGAGGAATCAGTATGTCGTAGGTCCCGCCAGCAGTGGACTGTTTCCCACCTGGCAGTGTGGGGTGTCTACGGGAGGTGAGGATGCACCTTGGTATGGCACCTGGGGGGACAGCTACATGATAAGCGGGGGCCAGAATGCTGGATCATGGGACCCAAATGATGCCAGGGTAGGCTTTGGAACAAACAGTGCTGTCCCCGGAATGGGAACTGGATATGGTACCTTTGACGGAGGAGAGCAGGATGGAATCGCCCCCGGGATCGTCCGGGCCCACGAACCACAGGATTGCAGTAGTTTGAGGGCGGATCCTTATGGTGGTTGTACGACCGCTGCTGTGGGAAGTGGGTACGTCGCAACAAGGGGTTGGGAGGGCACCTTTAGGAGCTCGCCTGGCGGACCGGACCTTGGGTTTTACCCTTGTCAGGATTCTCGCGAGGAGCCGAGTGCTTCTCTTGGTGCAATAGAAACTGGCGGCAGCGGCAGCTGTGATGGAGGTACCTCCCAGGACGCAATGACACCCAAGATAGTTCAGATCCCGCCGGGGTGCCATGATTTCAATGTGATAGCGGGGCTTGCGAACAACGCTTTAGGGACAGGGTGTGTGACAACAAGGGGTTGGGCTGTCACCCATCAGGGGTCTCCTCCTGGTGGACCTGGTCTTGGGTTTATCATGCCTTGTGAGGGGTTGCTACATGGGCCAAATGGTGCTTTGGGGGGGGTTGAAAGGGGGGGGTGCGGTACTAGTGATAACGGAGACCAGGATGGAACGACGACGATGCCCGGGACCCCTCAGCCCCATGGACCACGGTATGGTTCAGGGTTTAGGGAGGGTGCTGTAGGGTCTCCTTTATGGGAAAGTGAGCATGCCATGGCAAGGAGTTGGGTGGGCATCCATGGGGGCTCCCCGGATCGACCAGGGCACGGGTGTATGCGGTGTGAGGGTTCTCCCGACTGCAGGCATGGTGAGTTATTGGCATCTGGGCAATGTAGAGGTGTGGAGCATTTGGCATCTGTAAATACTGTGCAGGTTTTGGGAAGTGAGCATGCAATGGCACGGAGTTGGGTGGGCATCCATGGGGGCTCCCCAGATCGATCGGGATGCGGGTATATGCTCTGTGAGGGTTCTCCTGACTGCAGGCACCGTGAGCTCTGTCTTGGGCAATGTAGAGGCGGCGAGCGTTTGGCATCATCTGTAAATACCGTGCAACGGGGTAATGCCGATCGGCATTCCAGTGGGTCGCCTGGCTGTAGCATGAACCAAGCAGCAAGGTCCAATCACAGCGGACAAATGGGAATCGATGGCGGTGGACAAACTGAGGGATGGCTCAGGCGGCACATGGCAGTTGATACGAACCGGCTATTGGGATCGGGATCGCCGGGTGTGGGGAGCCCTGTTCAGAGCAACCTGAGCGGATTGGGATCTGGGCTGGGCAGACCCTTAGAAGATGATAGCGAGTCGAGTGTGTGCTTGCGAGTAATGCAGGAAGGAGGCATGGCGTGCGAGGACAACCTGGTGGAGGTAGATGGAGCAGCAGACCCTTAGATTAGGGACAGGGTGTGTAGTAGAGTAATGCTGAACGTTATGGATGGAGATGAACGCGGTACCAGGCAGGATGGATAGAGCTGATGAGGGTAATGGGGCTCGGGGCAGGGCATTCAAACGACTGTCATGAAATCGGCAGTGGTGGTGGGGAAGCCAGCTGCAAGTGAGCGTGAGGAGACGGCATTGGGAAACAAACGTGGGGCGTGCTCCCTGTCGGGATGAAGGAAGTTGCGTCTTGGTAGGGGACACCAAGTGCCTGCTGCTGGGGTGTTAGACATTTAGACAGATGCAAAGAGTAGGTCAGCTTAGCGGTAGATTCCTGGGTGTGATGATGGGGCCTCGCTCCACTACTCAACACTCTAGACGTATCGGGAGCTCACAGTTGTCCATGGACAATGCAAATGTTGGATTCCTCCAAATGCACCTGGTCCAGAAAGGTGTCAAAGTGCATGTAGAGTCTTGTCAGAGTAGCGGAGCGAGGCCCTATAGGTCTGAAAACCAGAATATACACATCAGAGTCAGTCAAGCACCGAATGAACCGAAGATCGGCGAATGAAAGATCGGACACTGAAATGAGGAGTGGTGGAGATTTATTAGAGTTTGTAGCGAGTGCTCAGAACTGGGAACAGGAGTTCTTTTCGAGGTTTCCACTGCACTTAGGGGTGATGTTGAAATTCACAAAAAGGTAGGTCAACCATGGGAGATGAGATGGCCGGGCTGCAATCGTAGTTTCAATGAAGGTTTCAAGAGTCACCGAACCAATTAGTCCGTGAAGGAACACACGGATGTACGAACGAACAAATGAACAAGCGAATGAATGCACCAAGTATAAACCGGCCAATCGAGTTCAATCAGCCAATTAAGGTTTCAAGAGTGAACGGAGGACCGTTAGACAGCAAAGGAAGGAACATCATGAAGGAATGAACGAACGAACGAACAAGCGAATGAATGCATGAAGGAATGAACCAAGTATAAACCGGTCAATCGAGTTCAATCAGCCAACAATCAACATGTCAATCAACAAAGGCGTCAATGAACAGGTGGAGGAGGAGCCAAAACAACCCCCCCAGTCAGACGAGACGGGATGCAGCTGGCCTGAAAGTCAGCAGCGGCGGTGGAGTTGGTGGTGTTATTAGTATGGGGCTGACGTTTGAACACACTGAGAAGAGAATGAAACGAAGTAAGCAGATCGATTAACCAATGGATGGATTAATGAAGGAGGTCGGTCAAGGCAAGGTGCAAACGAAGGAACGGACCAACTAAACTGTTCAATCGAGCTGTTGACGTCTTGCCGCTAATGATGGATACCATCAGCAATCAGGGCAAGCTATGGCGATGGTGGCGATACTCTTTGTCTTCGGAATGTAGACTGCGGTGGTGTCTACATTCCGGTGAACGGGCTGTGATTTTTCTGGTATATTTCTCCGTACGCGTGCGGTGGCGGTGGGGGTAGTCTTTATCATAGGTAGGGGTATGGGAGCCATCTTTTGGCTGGCGATTGCTGTGGTGGTCCTCTGCCACTTTGGGTGCATCGTCAAGTCACTCGGTCGGCCAAAAGGTAGGTTGTCCAATAAGTTGTGTGAGGACCGTTGACGAGGAATAGGCTGTTGCAGTGCTTGAGCAAATGGAATGGATAGTCGAGCAGAAGAGCTCGTGGCAGGTGGGTGGTGTGACACATTGGGGACGAAGTCTTAGGTGTGACAAATTGGTGTGACCTACGTTCAAGAGTTTACCAAGCGGCTGTTGGATCGCCTGAGTGTTCGATTACTGCCAGTACGTTGGATTATTGTCGCGAGGACCCACCGCTCGCTGTACATGGAGGCCGCAGTTAACCTTGGGTACTGACAGTGCTTTCGCGTGAGAAAGGGCACATGGCAGGAAAAAAAAGGGACACCCTTTAGCAGATTAGGCTCAACTGAGAGGTAACAAATCGAAGTACCTCACAGTGTGTGTGAGAGAGAGAGAGAGAGAGAGAGAGAGAGAGAGAGAGAGAGAGAGAGAGAGAGAGAGAGAGAGAGAGAGAGAGAGACCACCATAGGCTGGATGTGAATCGGCAAGGCCACAGTGAACGAGGCGGGACTGGAGCTTGTGCTGTCTCTCATCTGCTTACTTGTACGTGGCACACACACACACGCACACACACACACACACACACACACACACACACACACTGTGTGTGTGAGAGAGAGAGAGAGAGAGAGAGAGAGAGAGAGAGAGAGAGAGAGAGAGAGAGAGAGACCACCATAGATGTGTGTCCGCAGAGAGGCCTGCTGAAAAGATGCAAGGTACCAGTAGGGGGATATGTTCCGGTCGGGGCTTACTGGAGATTTGGGCATACTGGAAATATGGTACCGGTACCCCAAGGGGCAAATTGAACGTATTTCAGGCCCAAACGACACGAGTTATTTTTTGGAAACTTCAATCGCTATCAGAGGGGCAAATCAGGGTAAGTCAGCTTTTAGGGGCATTTTGAAACTTTTACCTAAATAATAATGATTTCTTAAAATAAAAAAAAAAGAAAGATTGGTACCCATTATGGCCGGTAGTGGAGGAATGTGACCGCAACTACAGCGGCCCCTGAATGCACCCATTGATGTATCTGATCGCCATGTTGGCTGGCGCCAGATGAATGTGACGGCAATTACAGCGGGCCCTAGATGTACCCACGGGTGGCACCTGACCGACAGAATGGCTGGCACAGGACGAATCTGAGGCCATACTCACACAGGGATCTTTTTTTTTCTTTTTTTTTTTTTTTTTCTTTTTTTTTGGCTCCGATCACTCTCACAGGGACCTAAAGCTCCTAATATCTGGGAGGTTTGGTACCATGTATTTGCTCCTTTGGGTGCCGGTTTGGTCACACACAAGTTCTCTGTCCACAAAGGACACAGTGGTGGCCCTGACATTTGCACCTCCCAGGAAGTTCACGTAGTCACACTGCTTACCCCAAAAAATGTATAGAGTTTTTTTTTTTTTTTTTCAATGCTGAACTAACACTCACTGCTGTTTTCCTCATGCACAAGTTTCTTCTTTTTCTGTTTTGGCTATTTCTCAAAAAAAAAAAAAAAAAAAAAAAAAAAAGAAGAACATCATTGGCGCGAGAGCACCTGCTAGCAGGAGTTGGTAAGAGAATCCTCCTGTAGCAGGCCTCGCAAGGTTGATGGCTCCAGTCTATTGGTGGGGAGCTTGAAATACCTCATGGAGAATAGAAAAGGTAATTTGAGATGACCTCTTGAGGTGGTCTCAAAAAGGGTCCTCCCGCGGGCCCGCAGGCTGCTGACAAAAGGGTCATCAAAAAGTACATTTGGGTAGCGGCCCTCTCCAATGTGACCCGGAAACTGCCTCAAATTTTGGGATTTAAGGTGATCAGGTCCCTGTGTTAGTATGCCCTGACTGCAACTACAGCGGCCCTGGACTGGACGTATCTATGGGNNGATGATGAGGGGAGCTCCATTCTTTGGTTCAATCGGTGAATTCACAGGGAGGATGCCACGAGCGAGCTGGGGAGAAGAGGGAGAAGAGAGATCACGCATATCTTATGTGAGGCACCGAAGCTGAACATTTGTAATGTGATTTGTTGTCAAATGGGAAAAAAAAAGAAAAAAAAAGGGATGGCAGTAGGCATACCACCATGCTTCTGCTCTACGTTATATGGAGCAATGGTTATGATGCCACTCAATGGCCCCCAGAGCAATTGAGGCCTGTATTGCCTTTTCTGAACAAAGGGCCATCCATGTTACTGGGGCATGTTGAGGTGCTTGAGGTGCTCCATTGTGTCCTTGAATACGTTTGTGAGTGGAGCACTACTTTTTCTCTCGATTCATGCTTGTCAATCCTTGTGCGGTGGCCCTGCAATCTCTTCTCTGTATCGTTCCAATTCCAATTTGATTGGATGTGGCAAAGGACGGAGCACTACTTTCACCTTTCGTGGCCCTGCAATCTTATGTGGTCAAGAACCCCCCTTTCGTGGGGTTGTCTGAGCTCTGCCTTGTTTCCTGATCCTGTGGGCTTCGCGCCACTACTCAACATTCGACATGCATTTGTACACCTTTTTGGACCATGTGCATTCGGAGGAGTCCAACATTTTGAATTCATCTGGACTATCACCAGCTCCAGATACTACTAGGGTGCCGTGTAGTGGAGCGAGGCCCTGCAAGCTTACAGTTTGGTGGGTCTGCCAGATGCAAACTCTATTGGTTGTGCGTAAAATGGCAACAATCAAAAAAAAAAAAAAAAAAAAAAAAAAAAGGCAACAATCAAATGAGGCTGGCACATTATTCACTGGGTGTTTTTGGAGGGACAACACCAGCCGGCTGCACTTCGCTCCTTCTGTTGGCGAAAGAAAGGTTCAATTGATTCTAAAACCACCCGTACCTCCGGGTTGGGGTGGCCGTTAAAGCGAAAGCCGAATCGGACTGCCCCTGCGGTCCAAATTCATTCGAGGCCCGAGGGTATGAAAAATGGGGTAGGTACTGGTGGTGCGGCAGTGGTCTGGGCTCTTCTTGTCTCCCTTCTCTCACCTGTCCGTTAACGCGGCGAAAGCCGAATCGGACTGCCCCTCCGGTCCAAATTATTCGAGGCCGGGGGGTATGAAAAATGGGGTAGGTACTGGTGGTGCGACAGTGGTCTGGGCTCTTCTTGTCTCCCTCCTCTCAGCTGTGGGCCGGCGCCGTCAAGGCGCTCACCGTTTATCGGGTGCTTCTCCGTCAAGGCGCTCACCGTTTATCGGGTGCTTCTCCGTCAAGGTGCTCACCGTTTAGTGGGTGCTTCTCCGTCAAGGCGAGTGTTTACCGGCTGCTGCTTCTTTGGGGTCTAACGGATGGCCCTCTTGAGTTTCTCTTTCCCGTTTTCTCTGGTGCCGGAGGGGTTCCTGGAGGGTCTTTTCTCTGCCAGTACAGGGCCCCAGCCTTGCTGAAAATGTTTGTTTTGTTGCGTTGCCTGGTCCGATAAAGTCGGCGCTGGCGGCGTTGCGTTTCCGCCTCTCACAGGGGAGCCCGCGGCCGATGTGAGGCGTGTACTGGTGGATTGGCTGCTATTTATGTGGGTGCGTACAAACTCTGACGCATAAGTTTGGCACAGGCTCCAGAGGTGTAATTGCGGCGTTGATGTGCTCTCTGGCTTTGAGCGGCGGCAATTGCGGCCGAACTTTCGAAAGCTTGATAGGCGACTTTCTGGCACACAGACATTTTGGGCCCCATCTTCTTCTCATCTTTGTAGGCGATGGGAATGGTTGTGATCACTTTCAAGTGGGAAGGCTGCATGAAGCTTCGGCTGGCAATAATTGCCTGCATGGTGGGGTCTCTAATCCCAGGTTCTTTGAGGCTGCATGGTGGGGTCTCTCTAATCCCAGGTTCTTTGAGAGCCTGTTACGGAACTAAATTGTGAATATTGTAGGGGGGTATTGTTTCGTGCCCTGGGCCTGCGGTCGTCGTGTATATTTCTGTGTGTGTGTGTGTGTGTGTGTGTGTGTGTGGAAGGAATGGACGGCGGAAGTGATGGAGGAGAGGAGGGAGGGCAGGGCAGGGAACGATTGCCACATGTCTCAGTTGGTGGTCAGGGTGTGTGTGACATGGTGCAGTGTGCAGCGTGCGCAGTGTTGAGGACCCACCACTCACGTAAGTGTTGAGGATGCATTTGTGCTGTCCACTTCATTTATTACGAGCAGTATCAGGTCTCCTCTGTGGGGAAAAACAAAAGGGGTCTTTTAGGGAGGGGTAATGGCATGGAGGAGAGGGAGGGGGAGGGGGAGATGGAGATAAATTGTCAGGGATGGATGAAGTGGTGTAAGGGCAGGAGCAGTTAGTGTAAAAATTGCTCTTAGGTTCTGCTGCTCTCTGCCAGGGAGGGGGGATAAAGCAGGGAGTGTAGGGTTACACAAGGGGGGGGAAGAATCACTGTGAGTCGCAGCGCAGGGTAGTGCGAGGGAGGAGGC